TATTATTATTTATGTACTGAACATGAAGTAAAGACTTATATTTGCCATTAATTATGGCCCATTCCTAGGGAGGACACTAATTTGTTCTATTAAAAGCTCCTCCAGATGGTTCGAGCTGTCAAAAATAATATAAAAATCCCTGCTAATATCCCTGCAAGAACCTCAACAAAGAAACTATTCTTCTCTTCCTAATTTTATCAAAGAGCCCAACACATTTCGGTTTTGAGTCATTGACGCAAAGAAATTTTGCATTTTAGTGTCAAGATGTTTCTTCTGCTTCTTGGTCTCGTTGGCATGGGCGGCCTCCCTCAAATTGGTTGAGGTAGCCACCAGAGTGTAATGCTGGGAGGGGCGTGATGGGCTGATGCTGCCGCCTGTCTACACGAGGCAGCAACAATTATTGCATGCAATGGGCTATTTCAAAGCTGCCGAGCCGAGTGCCTATGTGAGAGGTTTCCTCGCACCGTACCCACCTGCACCATGATGACCATCGCCACGATAGAACAGCACCCGTCGTGGCTGCCAAGTAAAAGACACATTGAAAGGCATTTTGAAAGTGGGGTTGAGGGATGAGGATGAACACACAAAAGCAGATCAGAGGGAACACGTTTCTGTAGGAGGTTCACCGTCATGCGTATGCTGTATATACCCCATATATAGGTTAGTGGGACAGATTGAGTGTGGATTTCTATGAACTTATGTTCAAATTTTCAAACAAGAAACATTAATCATAATATTGGCACCAACAGAGGCCAAAAAATTGGATCAAATTCTCAAAAAACCTGTTGCAGACAGTGTGTTTTTTTTTTTTTTTTTAGAAATAATTTTAAGAATTTTAATTTAAATTTTTGAGCCAGACTTTTTAGGGCAACTTCAAATTCATTTCTTATCCTTTAACATCTATAGCTAACTGGTAACTATAGCTGCTGAAGTAGATGTAAAAACTTGTAAAGATTTAAGGTCTTTAGTTTCGTTTTGCGAGCATTTTTAAGTAGGACTTCAGAAAATGTATTAATTTGGGTTTATATCATCATCTTAAAAATCATTTATTAAATTATTTCTTTACACAGCTGAAAGGAGTTTCGAACATCAAAGGAATTAATTTAATTACTGTCTATTCGAGAAAGTTCGATTAAGTCTCTTTGTTTGCTTTATTTGTAACATAGGTCAAGGTTTTATTTGCGATTTAAAATTATTTTAAATCGATTGCCGTTCAGTTAACGAACATACTTCCCAAGTGCTCTAGAAATCGACATTGTGGTTGGCTTCACATGCCACACATTTTTGATACGCCCGCCACCCAGAAGGGTTACGACTTCGGCATCTATCCCGCCCCATCAGTTTTGGTTTTGTTGTAGTATCAGTAACCCTGCGCGAAATTTCTGTCGAATGGTATTCCCGAATATTTTGAAACAGCAATTGGTACACAGGGAAAATATTTTCAAAACGGCAACCGTGACCAAAATACATACATATTCTATAGATAACTCTCGTCTAAATGCATTGGAACCTATCCAAATTGTCGATATAAAAATATCCATCGTCGGGCTGACGTTCCCCGCTCGTCGATCGTCGATCGTCGGTCAACGTCGTGCGCTCGGCCGCATCTGCATCGTATCTCTGGTGCACCAAAGTGAACCGTACTCCCCAATGCCCACATTCAATACCCGAATTCTCTCTTAATTTCACAAATTATTCTCGAAAGGGGTGAGCCGGTGCGGAAGGCAGGACCGTTGCCAGGTACCGTATGAGCCCATGCGCTCCTCTGTTTTCGCCTATAATGCCTGTCATGAAAAATGAATGAATACTTCCTGCATTACGCCCGGATTATGCAATAGTGGGGCTGTTTATATATCTCTGGTGGTGTTTCGGCTCAGACATCCTTACGAAAGGCAAACGATGGATGGGATATCTGACAACTGCACATGGAAGTGTCAATTGTGTTTTTGACAATATAGTAAAATAGGAATACATATCAGCTATGAGATGGATCATGCGAAATGTGTCAAGTTGATACCTTTTCTGATAGATCGCTTTTATTTTAATTTTTGAATACTTATTTTTGATGTAAGTACAATTTACAATACATAAAATATTTTAGCTTTCCTATTGTACATAGGAGTACATATGAGTACATAAATCGTAATGCGGTTTTGAGATGGGTTGTGCGAAAATGTCTTAAAAATATATGTAATTTTTGTAAATTTGTAATTTTGTACAAAATATAAAAGGTCCTTTCCTGGTCCAGGCACAACTAAATTATGTGCATACATATGTAGATTATTGGTCTATTGATAAAGAGAAGGCAAGCTATAAACAAAGCTTCTCTAATAATATTAATAAATATTGTAGAAAATGTGGAAAAATATTGACAAAAACCTGCAGAGGTCGCGATTTTTATAAAGCCATGATATCATTTAAAAATCAATATCCACAGGAAACCACAATATTTGTTTTAAAAACTAAAAAAAATAAGGTAAAATTGTTTACATTTCCAATATGTACAACAATTTGTTTACATATTTTTGGCAAAATGGTTTTCCAGCCCTCAGCTGGCTGCGTGCGGATCCCGAATGATTAATTGCCGCGGCTCAATTGAGAACCACACACGCATAATGTAAATCCAATCTGCAGAGGATCTAGCCGCCACATATTTATGTATAGATATGAATATGCAGTTGTCATATATTGCTTATTAATTAGGCAATCATATCGAATCATTTAGTATTAGTCACTGATGTGTGGAGCATTAGGAATTATTTCTGTAAGCATTTGTCACCCAATTAAATCGACGGCACAAGCGAAGTGCCCGAGCAGCCGACAGGCAGCCAAATCATCCACAGAAGCAACAACTACTACATAAATACTATACAACTCAAGTGCAGCGGAATGCAATAATCGAAGTCTATATAGCGTCGAGACTTTTATTAATGATGAGTGAAAACGAGAAATGAAAATGTTGCTCTTGTGAGCAGGCAGAAGGAGGTGCACCACACACAAATAACGTATTCAGGCCCCTTTTGCGACGCCGCCTCTGTGTGTAATGTGTGTATGCAGACTGATTAATCATATACAAGGCATATAGACAGCATGGAAATGAGTCAGTACGCAACAGTGTGTAAAAGTATTTTTCAATTTTGTTTTTAGATATTTATGAGCGACAAGCAAAAAGTATTTTTAAAACATATTTCATACTCCACTGAAAGCAAAGGAACCCATCTACATACAGATGTGGGTCGGGAGCAGAAGAAGACTGTGCCATATATTCAAAGCAGAGGTGCATATATAATGGTTGTACAGTGGAGTATCTTTTGCAAGGATAAACAAATGTTGTAGAACATTCGTTGCTCCTTTGATGCATATTTTCCTGAGCCAGCTTGATGTGCCATCCGCTCTAAAGAGATTTTACTGTACGTATAGTCCTAGGAAGTTGTGTGTTCAAGTTAAGGTAATCAAATTGCCAAAAGATGAGAGCAGCAGCAGCAGCAGCAGCAGCAACAGCAACACCATCAGGTAGATAAGTTCTGAGCTCTGGATCTGCCGCGCAGATTGTGTACATATGGGTCTATAATAATGTAAAATTGTATGGGTGGATCCACAATATATACATAGCTCGGAGAACATACCTACTAAATCTAAAAAACATTTCATATGCGTTTAATATAGACGCCGCTGTGGTCTAAATTTAAAACAAAAGCTATTTAGTTGCGAAGAAGTTCAACACAAGCGAACAATTTCTTCGTTCTACTCTGCAGTTTGTCCGCTTCTGCGCTGGCTATACATATCTATAGGAATATCTAAAATTTACTAGATACACACGCACACAGAAGACTCTGTGACTGCGTCCTGGGCACTAACTATACGAGAATCAAGAGAAAGATAGAACGAACGAACGAACGAACGAACGAACGCATACGCCGTGTGGTACGTGGACCGATGAGTCCGTCAACATATCTCACAGATACACGAATACACGAGCTTCTCCTGCAGCTGTGTGTGTGTGCAACACTTTTTTTTGTTGTTTTTGCTCGTGTTCGTCAGCACGTCCATGTCCACGTAGTGTATTGGTGTTTTCATCTCTCGAAATGTTTCAATTTGTCTATTTTTAGTCGAAAGTTTCTTTTTGTTTATTAGTTTTTTTCTTCGTTTTATTGCTGTTGTTGCTGTTGCTTTAGACTTTCCCCCTATGTGCTGGTTGTACGAGTACATAGAAGCTTAGATACAATATATAGCAGTGGGTCGGTCGTGGCGAGGTCTGCTCTTCTGCTCTGATTTAACGTCACAACTGAGGAATGTTTTGGCTATTCTTTTTTTCGGTGGTGGGCTTCTTCTTCTCCTGCTGGCTGCTGGATCCTCTACGCATTGTTTGGCCTGCCTCTCATATGTTTTTCCACAGAAAAGCCTCAGTTCTGTGGATGTTTATACGGCCTGTTATGTACCGTGCTTGTATAGAGGTATATAGCCTGCCAATAGCTGGGCAATCGTCTAGGTGTTTGCTTAGATTTAGCTGGCCATGCCTATAAGGTCAAACTATGTACAAATAATCGCAGAGATGAACGCTTAGGTGAATGGGGGTTTTACATAAGTTGAATAATATGAGCTCAATTAGCAAGTGAAAAAGGTGTAAAATCATTGGGTAGCAGTACAATTCGAAGTTGGATAAAGAATTCACTGAAGACAAGTGGTTCTGATTTGATTCTACAGATAATTTAGGTGGCTGGCTATCTCCGTATACATTTTAAGAGGAAAGAAGCTATGTAAAATATCAAACATATTTTGAGATATTATAAAAGCTCATTTTTAGTTAAAATTTCTTACACTTTAATACAAATAAGTGAAGAAAATCAAAGTAGTGGCAGTTCGTTTGAGAGCTTATTTATTTAATATTAAGAAAGGCTTTCAGCTATCATCTATAATGTAATTGTATTAATGCTTCTAAAGAACTACAAGAAAAAAATAACATAAATTATGTGCCAAAATGCATTTGTCTTAACTTTTCTTTCTCCGTAAAGAGGATCAATGTTTCCCCACAATCGAGCCCAAAAGCGAATGCCTCTAAAAGTCTGTGCACATGCAGCCGCCAGTGAGTAAACAGACATAAAACCATAAATTGGTTACCATGGCGCTGATTTCAGCCCGAGATACTGCAGATATACAGCGCAATATTCCCGCAATATCCCCGCCATAAGCGCAGATACGTTACGGTTTCCGCGAAGTATCTACTACGCGAATGTACACCAGACGCAAACAATTACGAACAGCATGTTTTGGTAATGTTACGCTTGAATTCCCCCTCGTTCGGCTACTCGTAAAACATTTTGGTAAACAAGAGATACAAGCAATCCTGCTAGATTATACCCTTCAGCATGGGCTTGAACACACAGAGAGAGAGAGAGATAGAGCGAAAACTTTATCTAGGGACTAAACAACACCATGGTGCATAAATCAATATTAGGCTTATCTTGACCAGCTGTGAGAATTTGTGCGGCTGTACATCGCAAAGATATTGGGGTTCGAGCCATGACAGAAATTGGTAACCATAAGCGAGCAGCGAGCAGCGACCATTGTCGAAAAGTGCCATTGACACCTCACTTGAGTTTCACTTTCCATTCGACATGGGTTACTGGTCAGAGACGCGCGCCTGGCTACTAAGGGATCCAGCCAAACTCATTCGCTACTTGGTGCTCTTCGCCTGCAGCATCGTGGTGATTGTTCAGCTCTACGAGTGCTTCGCAAAGCTCTACAATCCACCCATCTCCACTCACTCCTACTACAACGTAAACGACACGATTGAGATGCCAGCGATAACCATATGTCGGGAGCCACCCTACAGAGAGGAGGTTCTCACTGTGAGTTAGTCATCAAGGATTCCTGTTACGGGTAACTTAAGCAGAATTTATCCATTGCAGAACCTCTCTGGGGGCTACTGTCCACATCCAAAGTATGCCACCTGCTGGATGAACTATCCTTTTGGTGAAGTATCCCTGGATGAGTTCTTTGAGAATGCCACACACGACATCAGCGACACCTTTGTCCTCTACGGACTGAATGGCGACAAGAACAGTGGGTACAGTTTCGGCAATATGTTGGGGAAATACACTCACATTCAATGGCTTTTAGATCTGGAAATTGACAGCAGTCTGCACTTCTATATGGGTCGCTGCCACACCCTACGGCCCAAGGCACCCACCAAGCGTGTCTCCAAGTCTGTGGGCTACTCTCTGATGGTAGAGCATGCCCGATCCACCACCTCAACCAGTGATGTGGATACTGGGGGCACAGGCTGGCATGTCTTCATACACGATAAACGAGAGAATTTCACAGGTAAATTTTTACACTGGGTTCATGTTGCACTTTCAAATGTGATCTCTTTCCCCAAAGAAATCAACATGAAGGGCTCGGGCCGTGTGGAATATGTTTTCGTGAATATCAACGAGGAAATCGAGATCAAGCTGCAGAGTCAATACTTTTCGAATGTGGAGACACGCGATGAACCCTGCTCCAGCGATAAGGGGTACAGTGACTTGAAGGTAATGTTAAACGAAAGATTGTTTGCCTGAGACTTAGACTTAAACTGCTTCCAAGTGCGGGGATCATTGCATCTGGCAGGATTTGGCAGATGAGTCAAAATGTTCGGGTCCCTGGATGCACGAGATTGTCAATGAGCCCTGCAACGACACTTTATCCATGAGGAATCTAATATCGGACTATAAGGAGTAAGGTTCTCCTATCTGTTTGTATTCCTGTAATAATCCTTCCCTTGTTAAGGGTCTATGAAAACGAGGATGACTTTGATTGTGACTGCATTCTGCCGTGCCAGTCCCGCATTTACACAACTTTCATACAGAGTCGGAAAGCCTTCAATCAGCCAGAGCCTCGTTCTCTAATCTACATTTACTACACAACCAAATTGATATCGGTATGTGGATGGTAAATGATATATCGTGCAGTTAATGATTGGTTTTGCCTTTTACAGATGATTGAGGAGCGCCCGAGCTATGACACAACGCAGTTTATAGCCGATGTTGGTGGCTCTTTGGGGTTTCTGTTGGGCCTTTCGGTGCTAGGACTCATTGGCATACTGGAACATGTAGGATATATGTCCCACCCATCTTTATGGTTATTAATAATCCTCTTTTGCAGATGACTCTCTTCTTTTGTGGTGGCTTCATCAAGCGCATGCAGCAGAAGGAGCAAAGTAAATTGGGTGAAACATCAGAGGATGGTCAGTCGCAGACCAGCGATGAGACCATCGATGTGGCCACAGTCTATAAGAAAAAGACAACAAATTGATAGTCAAGGAGTCCAGCTGGCTGGGCATTCCATAAATCCACTACTAATCAAATAAATTTCTTACATTTAATCAACATTAAAAGCTAAAAACTATTTATAATACACAAAGAGGACAGGAAGATTCTCCTGTCGTTAGGATCTAAAAGAGTCTGAAGCTCATAAGAAGACCGAGAGAGGCCATCAGCAGAGAACTTACAGACATCGGGGAAGCAGCCGAAGTGGACTTCAGGATGACATTTGTGTTGAGGATATCGCCCAACTTGTTAATGATATCCGGCAGCGGGGAAGTTCTGCTCTCGCAGGCTGTGTTCTCGATGGCCTCCTTCACACTGGCTGTGTGTATGCGGAAGTTGATGGATCCAGCATACAGCTCGTCGTAGATGAACACTGGCAGCTGATTAGACAAGACCCAGAGACGCTTCTCCTGATCCACCTTGACGTCGCTGGGAAAGATCATGCTGTCGTTGTTCCTGAAGATGCGGCTCTGGGCATTGTGGGTAAAGTTCTGAGAGGTGCGCCAGCAGGCCACTTCATTCAAGTTTGGCAGAGCATAGAAGAGCACACCAGTCTCCTGATCCAGGAACTCGGCACCCGCCTGGGTGTTGGGTCCACGAGAGCCGAGAACCTTGAAGTCCCTATAGATATCCGGCGAGGTGGCCAGGGTTTTGTTGCGCAGCACAGAAGTGCTCACCGAGAACTCCATTGTGGAGCACAGCGGATGGAAGTAGAGCGTGGAGAAGCCCGTTTCCAGAGGTTTGGACAAGGCCAAGCCATAGAGTCCATCATCCCACTGAAACTCGATGCCACTGACGCTGAAATTTCCGGCCATGGGATCGGGATGGAAGTAGTGATGCTGCACGCGCCACGATTCCTGGTCTTTCCACGAGTAGACAACCAAACCGGGACTGCCCAGATCCCCAGCGTAGGCGTAGGTATTCTCACAATCCCCATCCTCTATGGCCAGATTTGCCAGAAAGGATCCCTGCTTGAATTGTCCGGCTGGCAGAGTATGGCGGCGCAGCAGATCATCGTTGTGCAGATCGTAGACCAGCAGCTGTGGCGCTCCATACATCTTGGTCTTCTCCAGCACACCAGAGATGCGTAAATCCAATACCCACAGGCGGCCACAGCGATCAGCCCTCACACGGAATGGGGAAATCAGCTCTGGTTCCGCTTCAGCCAGATTGTGGGCCTCCCAGCTGGGGTAGGGCTTGAGGGCAGGCATTTTAGTCGAGGTGTCTATAAAAGAAAAGAGAGAGAGAGAACGTTTGTAATAAGATTCCATTTATGGCGGGGTATTTGCTCTCGATTGGATTGGTATTTTGGCTGCTGCTAATTGGAATATCAACAACATTTTGAATGTGTTCATTGGGTGAAAACAAACTCCACTGACATTGGCTGCACTCTGTGACTGTGGCTTGTATGGGCGCTCATTGTTCGACTTGTCAATTAGCGGTTGGTTGATCTTGTGCTTGCGGCAACTTCCCACTCGCAAAGGGTAGAGCAACTTCATTAAGGGGGTTCAGAGTGGGTCATTAACATGTACCAGCACAATCACACACGTTCATTCATGTTAATTAACTTCAATTGCAAATCTCTCAGTTGCGGACTGTCACTCCCAGATCAAAAGGTGTAGGGATAAATATTATATCCTATTCTACAGTAAACGTTGAACATTGACGAATTGATAGAAGCTTCGATGCTTGTTAATGATCAATCAATATATTCAGAGGTTTTTAAACTCTTTATTTCTAATTTTAAAGACATCAACATCAATACTCTAAATCAAAAATCTTCCTTTTATGGAACCCAATAATTGTATGAACCCCGCGCGAGTGTACTCAAACATCTTATGACCATCTAAACAATCTTTGCACTTGCTATAACCAAATAACTATGGTTATTGTACACTCACAGCCCACACAGTTAAGCCAAACGAGCTTTGCATCTATTAGCTATGCCCCCGAGTGTGGGGCTGTTAATGACGCCAGCAAGCTGCAGCGTGCGGAATTATGGTAATTGCCGGGCAAGTGCGAAAGGAAACTGAATTGTTTTGGATGGTCAAGTTGATCAGACACAAACCAAAACAATTGCTGAGATTTTAGTTCAGTGCTTGGCACAGAAAAACTGCAACTGCAATTGCAATGTTGCAACAATGCAAGTCTCATTCGCTTACCATTAAGATCAAGGTAGGCCAACGAGGCCGGCACTCCGGCCCGCCATCTGGGCAGGGTCACGAAGAGTCGATGCTTGTAGACCTCCAGGCCAAAGGGTATTACATTGGCGGGCTTAAAGTCGCCCTTTTCAATGGCCGCCCAACGCTGGTCCGCGGTTTCGTACTTGAAGTCCATTTCCCGCCACTCGTAGGCCACGCGGAGATTATCATTGGCCAGCGCTCCGACCAGCCATAGCAGGAGGAGTCCAAACCAGGCAGACATCATGGCTTCAATCAAATAACTGCAAAAAGACATACAAATCAATTAAAATTATACAGATGAATGGCTGCTTAAGCTTCCGTTAAGCCGCAGCGGCCTTGTAGCATGCCATAACCAGATCATTGTCAGTTAATAATTTGAGTATCTCGATCTTGTCACTAGGCCCAGCAACAGCCCCCGCACCGCCTCAACCGTTGGCCTTCTTTGCCTCTGACTCAGAGTCTTAGGCTTGGTCTCAGGCTTGGTCTTGGTCTCTCTCAACTATTTGAAAGTTGTCTTGGCTCTTGGTTCTGCTTAAGTTGCCAAACCACAAGCAAAGTTTTCTGTTTTCTGGCTAAAAGCGAGTCTCGTGGTTCATAATCTAACCAAAGAAATCAAGACATGTTTTGGGGAAGTTTTTCACTTTTTATATACCCTTTTTTGAGTGCACTTTACGGAGACTTCTACTGATGTCTGCGATTCTTTGAAGATTGATGAGGGTTTACTGTCATTCCAAACATACATAAATACATGCTCTTTATGTTCGAGATAAGATCGGTTTTTGATTTCATTCGAAAGAGCTTCCATCTCCATGCAATGGCATCAACTTCTTTGAGTTTAAATATAGCTTTTTCTTATGTTATTGGATCAATATTCCTCTTATATTTTTCTTGCATAAACAACTCTTAAAACTGCTATTGTTAGAGACAATATTTACGCATCCAATCAAACCTTTCTCCTGCTTCAACATTGCTCAAGTCGTCTGGCACCGCACTCGCTCTTTTTTTTGTTTTTTTTATAGTGTACTCGTCTCGGCCTCATCATCATCTGAATTCAAGTTGAGTCTCTGTCTCGTCATTCGGGCATTAGCATTTCAATGAGCCTCTCCGCCATTCTCTTTGATTGTTCCTTCTAATACATTTTATTTATGATCTTGGGGCATCGTCTGTACATTTTGTTACACGCATTTTAATAATTGTTTTTTCGACCATTTTGCTACGGCCTAATGCCCTTTTTCGTATCGATTCCAGTTTGATTTGTGGGCGTGTCTAAATGTATATGCAGGCATAATTGTTAATTGTCTTTTGTGGGCATTAATTAATAGTCTCCGATTTGTTTAAGCTTCGCTTGTGTTTTCTTTTCCAGTTTCTGCCCATTTTTATTTGCTATTACTTAACACTTTGCTTTGATATTTTTATGTGGTTTGCAGCACTTTCGGGTTTCGGCAATTGAGACTTGTAGTCCGGGGTCTTTGTACTATCCAACTCTAAAAAGTTATGCAAACTTTGTCACTTGACTGACTCAATCTGAGCTGCGTGGACAACACAAAAGTTGATCAAAGTTTGTGTCTTGAATCGTTTGTGTTTTGACCCTGGTTTAGTTTCGGTGTTTATGACAGCAAATAGTTTGATTTGCTGGTCAAATCTTTACAAAATGTCAGCAGTTCGAAGCAGCACTTAACACACCTTTCTAAGAGACAACAAAACTCCGTGAGATACAACCGCCCGCGACGAAGCTCGAAACGAAACTAAAAGCCAACTGAACCACCAGCGGCTTGGGCAAGACAACTTTATGGAGACGGGTTGGGTTGCGTGAGAGTTGTCCTCTCGCTCTCTTGAAATTCCACTGAACTTGAATTAGTCAGTCGGTTAAGGCGTTTTAGCACTTGCGAGCACTAAGTAAATTTTGGCACGCTCCCTGAGCTATTCGAATAATGCTAATAGATACATGGATGGCCAGCTCCCACGCTATGGCGATATTAATCCGGCTATTATAAATACATATAGCAACAATTCCAATTTGCAAATATACGCAAATAGGTGACCATTTCGGCTTCAGTGGGCTGTGAACATTTCGACGGCCCTGCAGATGACAAGCCCCTGAAAATACTCCCACAGCCAGTAGGCAATCAAATGGATAGAGGCCTACGGCTAATTATTTTCTGACCCATAAATATTTAAAGATATTATGCAGGGAACCCATTGCCTTATTTTTTATGGTAATAAATATTTTAATTAACTTATTGGCTGACCTCTAGAAAGTTCTGAGCATTCTGTACCATGAATGAATCGCAGACTGACGAACCACTGGCTGGGGCTGGACCATGCGTCATCAATTGGTTTTGAGGGCTTTCCAGGTGCCATGTACGCAACAAAATCAAACTAAATGCGGCTTTGCATTCAGCGTAACTGGAGAGGCTGGTAAGTCACTGCTATTAGAAAAAATACAGTCATGCGGGAATAGATATGTTGAAGAAAATTATACAGGTACGATTATTACAGTTGAAAGATCTCCACACCTTCCTTCCATGTCTTCAAAAGACTTTTCCCAAGATAAAAATGTCATCCAATATTTGTTTTCTTTTATTTGATTTATTAAAATTTCAATAAATTAATTTTAAAAGAATAGAACAATTAAAACATTAAACTAGAAATATTATCATTATGCAGTTTTGTTTTTGATTTTTTTTTAGATTTTAAACAATTGCTTATACAAATTTGCGGTTTGTTTGTTGATTTGTTTTTGGTTTTTTTATAGAAACATTTTTCGTACAAGATGGCTAAATATATATTTTGTTTCCCTTACTTTACGCTTTACTTTCCATTTGCGTTACAACATTAAAAGTGG